CCTGGCGGTTCATATGGATGCCATTTGGTCAGGATTTAGAGTCATTTGTGGAGGAACCCTTTCCGATGTCTTGCTTTATCCCGGCAGGCCGCGGAGCCTATTAGAGCGAGGCTCCGAAATGCCTCGTACTGTTAACAGACGCTCATGGGGGTGCTGGGAGCCGCAGAGAGGGCTCGGCTTGGGCCAAGAGGGCATCCCCATTCCTTCTCCACTTCGGAGAGGGAAGGAGGAGAAAGTGGGAACCAACAAGGAGAGCCAGAGTATGGAGGGCTGCAGAGAGGGAGGGAAGGCTTGCAGGGATGGAGGCCGGGCTCATCTGTCCCCCACAGACCCCCAGACACCCACCCTGGGCAGACGCTGTGTAAGATGCCTGATCCTGGCCCTGAGAATCTGTTGGGGGAACCAGTAACCACACAGTGTGGCCAGGCCTATGAGAGAGGGAGTCCTCAGACCCAGCCCGTAGGTGGGTAGGTCAGGGAAGGCTTCCTGGAGGAGGAGAATTCCAAACTCATCATTAAGTGTGTGTATGAAGTGCTAGTAAAGAAAGGAGTTGAGGGCGCCAGGGTGGCTCAGTCAGTTAAGCAGCTGCCTTCAGCTCAGGTCATGATCCTGGAGATCCAGGATGGAGTCCCACATCGTGCTCCCTACTCAGTGGGGAACCTGCTTCTCCCTCTGACCTTCCCACTTCTCGTGCTCTCTCTCTCTCTCAAATAAATAAACAAACAAAGAAAAAAAAAAAAGAAAGAAAGAAGAAAAGGAAAGAAAGGAATTGAGTCTCCCAGCAGGGTATGGTCAGCTCCCTTTCCTCCTTTTCCTCCTTTATTCCTTGATCAGTGCCCCTTGGTCATGCTACATCTCTTATCATCTCTCATGATTACATTTGATCCTCCCAGTGGTCTAAGGCTGAGGCACAGCACAGAGCCACACTCCATTTAATGATGACAGGTCCGAAACCAGAGAAAAGCAGGACTTGCCTGGGGTCCTACATCCAGTCCATGGTGGAGCTGGGCTCCCGGGACAGTGTGTCTCCTTTTAGGGTCCACCGAGTACCCTTCTGACATCCCAGTATAGCACTGAACTAGAAGTCCAGATGCCTGGCATAGCTGTGGGCCGGACTTTCAGGCCCCAGGTCAGACAGGCACATGGCCATGTCTGGCACAGTGCCCACCCCGCACCACTGAGCTGGCAGTCAGAGGTGCCAGGCCTGGGGACACACACCCTTGGTCATCTAAGCACAGGCTCCACCCCTTCCCAACCGAGCAGATGTGGGCAATTCATTCCTTTTCCGATTCCCCACTTTCTTACCTGTAAAAGGAAGCTAATAATCTCTGTTTCCCTCCAGACTTCGAGCAGGATTGAGTACGCTCCTGGCACATAGCAGAATCTCAATGAGAGGCCATCCCCAGCCCTTGGAAGGGGCCCTAGCAAAGGTCCAGAGGCAGAGACTGTATCTCACTCCCTTCCTGGTACTGTACCTGGCACGCAGTAAAAGCCCAGTAAATATTTGTTGAACAATGAGTGCACAATAAAGGAATTCATCTAGAGTAACTTCCCAGTCATGCAGAAATCCTCAAAGAGAGTCACATCTGAATCCTGGCTCTTGCTGCCTTCCAACTGGCGGCTTTGGGTACATGATACTGGTCAGAGATCAAGTTCCTTGTCTGTGACTTGGGCAGTGACTGCTGCCTCACAGAGGAGCTCCCTGGAGGTGTCCATGAAGTGGGGTTGTGTCCACTAGGAAGTCCTGTGCACAGGAGCGGCCCTGTGACCAGCCCCTCATCTGTCCAAGTGTCATCAGTGGGGCCAGAACCTTCCTGAGGCTGCATTGCAGCTTCGCTCCCGGCCTGAGCCCCTTGGCTCCAAGATTCATGGAAGGGTGACCATGGAATATAGGCCAAGGTCTGTCGGGCGGGGAATCCTGGCTGCCAGACAGGCCAGAGCAGGCACAGGCAGGGGTGAGTCAGCTCTGCCACAAGGCAGCCGCCCACCCACGTCAGCCCAAGGCCTCCCCATCATAGCAACACACTAGTCCTAGCAACCTACTCATTCCTTCTTAAAATCCCCTCCCATGCCGTTACACAGAAGGAGAAACCAAGGCTCAGAGAGAGAGAGTAACTTGTGCTGGTCAGTCTAGTGTAGGTGTAGGGTCCCACGGCGGATATCACTGGGCTTGGGAGCTCCCCGGCTGCAAGATGTTCCACCCACCCAGGCTGAGGACCAGCTGTTATGTCAGCGGAATCAGGTCAAGATTCTCGGGGTTCAGGCCTCCATGATGGTGCTGTCCCCACTGCCTTCAGTCTTCATCCCCTCCGTCTCTGGCCCACGCTCTGTACATTTCAGCCATATGGGTGCCCTGAGTCACCCCCTGCGCCGCAAACCTCCAGCCTTTCCCTGTGGCCCTCCCTGCCTCTGAAATTCACCTGCAACCTACATTTGCCATCCAGCTCCTACTCACCTTCTCAGAGGCAGATCGGAAGTCAAACCCACCCCTGAGGAGGGCCATTACAAAACGCAACGTGAAACAGAAAATAACAGGTATTGTCAAAGATGCAGAGACCTTGGGACCTTTGTGCACTATTGGAGGGAGTGTCAAATGATGTAGCTCTTATGGAAAACAGTAAAACAGTTCACAAAAAAAAATAATAATAATAATAAATAAATAAACATAGGATTGATCTGAGCAAGCAATTCCACTTCTGGGTGTATCTTCAAAAAGAACTGAAAGCAGGGACTCAAACAGATACTTGTATCCCCTTTGTCCGTGCCAGCATTATTCCCTAGAGCCAAGGTGCAAACAACCTGAATGTCTACTGAATGCATACACGTACCTATGATGAACTATTACTCCCCTTTGAAAAGGAAGGACGTTCTGACACAGGCTACAACATGATGAACCTTAAGGACATTAGGCTAAGTGAAGTAAGCCAGGCACAAATGGACAAATATTATATTATTCTATTTATGTGAAGTCATTAAAGTATTCAAATTCAGAGAGAAATTCAAATTCAGAAAGTGGAACGGTGGTTACCAATGGCTTGGGGAAGGAAGGAATGGGAGGTTACTGTTTAAGGGGTACAGAGTTTCACTTTGGGGGAGATGCAATAGTTCTGAAGATGGATGGTGGTGATGGCTGCACCACATGGAAATATTCCTTTTTTAAAAGATTTTATTAATTTGAGAGTGAGAGAGAAAGCATGCAAGCAGGGAGGAGGGGCAGAGGGAGAGAGAGAAGTAGGTTTCCTGTTGAGCAGGGAGCCTGATATGGGGCTCGATCCCAGAACCCCAGGATCATGACCTGAGCCAAAGGCAGAGGCTTAACCAAATAAGCCACCCAGGCGCCCCAACAATGGGAATATTCTTTTTTTTTTTTAAGATTTTATTTATTTATTTGACAGAGAGAGATCACAAGTAGGCAGAGAGGCAGGCAGAGAGAGGAAGCAGGTTCTCCGCTGAGCAGAGAGCCCGATGAGGGACTCAATCCCAGGACCCTGAGATCATGACCTGAGCCGAAGGCAGAGGCTTAACCCACTGAGCCACCCAGGCGCCCCCAATGGGAATATTCTTAATGCAACTGACTGTACACTTAAAAATGGTTCAAATGGTCAGTTTTGTGTTAAGTATATGTTGCCGCAATAAAAAGAAGGGGAAAAAGACCAAGCACTCTGGTAATCTGTCCCTGATGCCCCCAAGAAGGTCAGAGCCCAAGTGTCACCTTACAATCACCAGGAATTTATAATAATTTTTAATTAAAAAGTATTAAATTTTATATTGTAAAATTACACGTAACACCAGGATGATATTTTTAATTTACCTTTTTATTGCTCTAGTCCATTTCTTTTTCCAGGTTTACTAATTGGCTCTATTTCCACTTTTGAAAACGCTGGCCTATTTGTCAAGAAGATGGAGGGACAGGGTGTCTGGAGCCCTGCCCAGGTGGAATGAGGGGTGGGAGGGTCTCAGAAGCTTGAACTTGCTACACAGCCCAAGCCCTGGAGAATGAGCAGCCTTGCAGCAGGGAGCACAGCCTGGACTTCTAGAGAGGGAATCAGTGTCAGTCCTTGGAGCCTGGCAGGACCACAGGTGCTATACAGAATGGAGAGGGAACCAAGGCGGAGGAGCAGGAGCTGATAGTTACACAGAGTGACATTTACCAGGTTTACCCCCAGATATCTACCCTACCCCTGGGGGGAGAGAATGTGACCCTCATGTCACAGATGAGGAAAGCATGAAGTGTGAAATTATGAAGTGATGCACAATTATGAAGGTCACAGGTTATTAGGGATGAAGAACAAGGATTAGAACAAGCACATGGAGCCCCAGAGTCTTTTCCCACAGTGGCCAGATGCAGAGCAGAGAAGAGTCAGGGCAATCCTAAGTGGGGCAGCCTGATAAATCATGGCCTAAGGAGGCCTAAGGAGAAGTGGCAGGCTCCCTTCAGAGGAAGGAGAGCCCAGGAACTTGGGAGAGGACGGGAGAAGCAGCAAGAATGAGGGGGTTTCCGCAGGCAGCTGGAAGGGCCAGTCCCCACCCTCCTAGTCACTAGCGAGCACACGCAGAGATCGTGGAGAAGCACCCACGGATGAAAGGGCCCGCCTGGGGTTTAGCCAGCTAGGTTCCGGGCTGCTTGGGCACAGCCCGAGTTCTGTGACCTGGGCAAGTCCTTTCCTCCTAAGCCTGATTCCGCATCAGCTGAGCAGAGAGAGTAAAAACAGGCCTTTCGCTATGCACCGCGGTTTTAGCGCCCTGCACTTGACAATGCACCTGTATTTCGGGCACACCTGGTTGTGCAATGCTGGTGTCTAAGAGCCACTGAGCAGCGAAAGCCCGACACGCCCACAGGGCCCTCCCAGGGCCCGAAGCTCAAACCCTCCCACCAGAGGGAGGTGCCCCGGGACCCGGAGGCAGCAGGACCCTGGGCCTTCGCGCGCTCGCGCTGCCCCTCGCCTTCCGCTCCGGGCTCCCCTGGGGGAGCCTCAGCCGCTGCACCCCCGCAGCCTCCGGGGCAGGAGCGAAGCCCGGAGAGCGGCGGGGCTGCCATGGCGGAGCCGGAGGCCACGGCCGAGGACCTGGACGCCCTCATCGACGACCTGGACTACCTGCCGGGCCACTTCCACCTGGAGATGCAGCTGAACTTCGAGCCGCGCTCGCCGGCCTCGCTCCGCGCCCGGGACCTGAAGCTGCAGCGGGACGGCTTGCAGCAAGAGCTCGAGCTGGCGGCCGCCCCGCAGCGCCCCGCCGTGCGCCACCTCCTAGGCGCCTTCGCCTTCTATCTCGACGAACTGGGCGAGGCCCGCGAGCGCTTCCTCGAGGTGGCCCGCGAGGACCCGGGCAACCTCAACGCCTGGGCCAACCTGGCGCACGTGTACGGGCGGCTGGGCCAGGAGGAAGAGGAGGAGGCGTGCGCCGGGCGTCTGGCGGGCCTCATGGGCCTGGCAGCGGAGCGCGAGGCGGCGGGGGACCCCCAGCTCCGTGCGGCGCGCTGCCTGGCGGAGCAGGGCTATGCGCACGGCTTCGACGTGGGCTGCACCAGCCCGGAGGAGCGAGCGCAGGTGCTGGCCGCCGGCATCGCGCTGTACGAGAAGGCGCTGGGCTACGCGCAGCAGGTGAGTGACCCGGTCCCAGGTCGGGAGGGCTGGCGTCGTGGCCCCCAGCGTCTTCAAGGACGTGCCTGCACCCCAGACTGTCCCCAAACCCTGGCCCTTTGGCTTCCGGAATGCCCTGCCAGGGCGCCTCTCCCAGACCGGCCTGTAGCTTTTCTCTGCTAGGGCGGAGACCTGCTTCCTAGCGGGACAGTCTGCCTAAGTTTCTTTTCTGGCAACGCTGCAAAATCTGAGTTGGCCGACTCATCCTTCTCATCTTGATTCTCCCAGCAAGCACATGCCCATGCGCCTGCGCACATCGCCCAAGTAAATGACATACCCAATCCCACAACGCAACTTGGGTAGCATTCTTAGCTCCTCTCTCTTCCGCTTCCCCCACCTTCCCCATCTGCTGAGACCCCAAATCCCTGTCCATTGGGCCTGCTCATATCTCTAAGATCTAGCCACGCCTCCCCAGCCTCTCTCTGCCAGCCCAGCCTCACCGTTTCCTGCCTGACTGGTGTAGTTGCCATTATCCTGCGTGGGTCCTTGCCCTCCTGCCTGACCCTTCTGCCTTTTCTTCACCTTGTTCAGTCTTACCGGCCATGGTAGCTGCTTCCACCCCTGGTAACTCCCCACTGCCTGGCAGATAAGTCCAAGGCTCTCCAGTGGGCACCTGAGACCCTCCATGCTCTTCCACTCTGCTTTCTCTCTCCCATGTCCTCCCTTCCAGCCATGCTTTGCCACAGCCTGCTTCCCTGTGTCCCCCCAGTGGGCAAGTCTCCTTACAGCTCACCTTGCCACTCCCTTGGCCTCTTTCTATGATGCCCTTCTGCTCCATCTTTGACCGGAAGGTTCGCCCCAGTCTTGGGTTTGTCACAGGCATCCCCTCTTCCAGGAAGCCTCCCCAGACTTCTGCAGGGTGGGTCAGGTGCCTGCCCTGGGCTCCCACAGCACTGCTCACCCTGTCAGTTCACAAATCTGTCTCCTTAGTTCAGCCTTGAGGTCTCTGAGAGCGGGGATAACATCTGTCTGGTTTATCACTGCAAACCCTATACCAGGCACAGTGCCTGGCACACAGTAGTGCTCAATAAATATATCTTGAATACTTGTATGGGCAGAATAGGGCCTTGCACTGAGTAGAAAAACTCCAGGTGTATTGGTTACCTATAGCTGCATAACAGATATCCTCCAAAACTTACCGGCTTAAAACAAGAAACATTTATTGCCTTGTAGTTTTTGTGGACCAAGAATCCAGGCATGGCTGAGCTGGGTGCCTCTGGGCTGTGTTCTCATCTGAAGGCTTGCTCAGTTGCGGGGAACACCTGCTTCCAAGTTCCCTCATGTGGCTGTTGGCAGGATTTCAGTTCCTCACTGGCTGTTGGCCAGAAGCCCCCCTGAGGTCCTTGCCCCGTGGACATCCTGTCACTTTTGCTATGGTCTGTTCCCTAGAAGGGAGTCAGTCACTAGTTCTAGCTCACACTCAAAGAGATGGCACTACACAAGGACACGAACACCAGATGGGGATCTCTGGGAGCCATCTCAAAGGTTAACTGCATTGGATGACAGAGGGTGTTTTCCTCCTGTTACAGAAAAGGAAACCACGGTTCAGAGAAATACCATGACTTTTCCGTGAAGGTAGGGTTTAGCTGATAACCATGATGTTTTATAATGGCTTAGATTGGTGATAATTAGATAACAACACGCCTTCACACAGGACTCCATTCACAAAACTGCTGCACACTCCCTTGGAGCCTTTTCCACCCAAAACCCCTTCCATCTTCAGAGAGGAAATGTGGAGTGCAGGCCTCAGGGAACGCCAGGTGGAGGGCACAGACTTGAGTTCAACAGAGCAGCACAGGGTAGAGGTTAAAACGGGAGACTCCGGGTCAGACACTCCAGATCAAATCCCAACTCCCCGACGTTCTCTCCCCTCCAGCCCATCCTTAGCATCACGGAGCTTCTATTTCCCTCCCTGTAAAATTGGGATAATAATGGTCCCCATGTCCTGGGCTCCCTCCACCATCAGAGGAGGGCATTCTTGGTTGGTAGGTTTCATAATAAAGAGCTGACATTTGGAAAGCACTAGGAAAAGAGTGTGCACAGAGCCAGCAAATAGCACATGACACCCACCTCTCCTGGGCAGGCCTGGGGAGTCTTCTCTGCCTCGGGGAGGGGGGTGTAGCTATGACCATTCCGTGGAGCCCATAGGGACCCAGGTTTTTGTTTAAAAGCCTGAGCCTAAGGCCTGAATACCTGCTGCCATCAGCAGGAGGCACGGACAGTGTCGTGTGTACTGACTGTGGTCCCAGCGGCAGAGGAGGGCATAAAGGGCCCTCAGATAGGAGCAAGGAGGCCTCCTGGGCCTTCCCTTCTGGGCTGTGGTTTCCTCCTATGTGAAATGGGGGCAGAGAGAGGGGGAACTGGATGGTCCACAAAGCCCATTCCTGCTCTCAGGAAGGCTGGGGGAAGGCTTCCTGGAGGAGGTGAGCATGGAGGCAGAGGTTTAGGCTTAGGGATCAGACAGGGTCCAGCATCTCTCTTCCTGACACCGGTCAGCCTAGCCATGGTGGGGGCCACCCCCAACCCCGACCTCCCCACCCGCTTACCCTCACCATGAGCAACCCCCAGAGGATGGAATGTCACGCAGAGCGCTGCCCAGGGCTTCAGGGAGGGAACTGACTGCTTCAGGTAGGCAGTGGCCCGGCACTGAGCTCCATGCTCTGTCTTCAGGTCTCTGGTCAATGCGGCCTTGGTCAGTGCCTGCGTCACAGGAGAAAGTTGGGGATTTGGAGCTCCCATTTTTCATCTGAGACTTGGAAGAGATCATAGCTGCAAAGCACCTGGCACAGAGTAGATGCTCAAGAAATGGCCACGTTGGGGTAACAATGATGATTCCATTGTCGTTAGAGCAGGAGGCTTGGGCTCAATCACCCAGCTCTTACGTTTTTGTGGTGTGGCTTTGGACAAGTCACTTTTCGTCTCTGGTCTTGGCGTCTGCTTCATGAGGGCACTCCCAGCAGGGGTGTGGTGTGTGTGAAGGTCCTGGGGTGAGGACCTGCAGAGCCTGCCGGTGTTAGTGACAGCCGAATGGCTTAGAAAGAGGGCAGCCAGAAGCTTCTCACGGAGGAGCCCAAGCTGGCCCGGGAACTGCTGACTCGGTCTCTGAAATCTGCTTCCCGCCCTCCTCTTCAGCTGCTTCTGACCTCCCAGCAACCAGAAACCACCTCTGCTCCTCCCAACATACTGTGCTCTCTCATATCTCCCTGCCTGGAAAGTAGACTCCATCCCTCAAAACCCTGCTCAGATGTCACCTCCGCCTTGAAGCCTTCCTTCATGCAACACGCACCTTCACACACCATAATACCTGTGAACGTCTTCTGTGCATGTCTTCCAGACTCCATCTCAGTCCCCACAAGAACCTTCTGATCCTGTGTCACAGAAGCGGGAACTGAGGCATAGTTGGGCTCAGTAACTGGCCCAGGGTCACAGAGCTAGTAAGTGGCAGTGGAATCCACCACACCCTGTCTAACAACAAAGCCTTTGCTGTCTCTGTGGAGGTCAGGGGGTGGGGGGCGCACTAAGTGCAGACGGCTGGTGGGTGGTGAGGGATTTTGTACACGGACTGTGTCCTGGAGATCTAGGGCAGAGGAAGCTTCGGGCAACAGGAGGTGGGTTGCTATGTGTGGGAGGGAGAGGGTGGGAAGGAAGGGGGCAGAGACCAGGTCAGAGTCAGGGCCAGGGAAAGAGGTGGTGGGACTCCTGCTGAGAGGGTCTGACCCATGGGGGGACAGCTGGGGGTGGGCAGCTCGTGGTCTGGATCCATCCTGTGCTGTGGCTAGGAGAGATTTTTCTATCTGCCTGGGGCTGGGACTGTCTCAGGCAGGGAGGAGTCCCTGGTGCTCAAAGGCTGTAGAAGGACTAGAGAACCAGGGCTTGTCTGCTAACTGAAATGACCAGAGAAAACCTTGTACAGTTAATAATTTTGCCCGTAACCCAAAAATAAACCCAGTGTGTATGCACGTGTGCATGTGTGTGTAAGGGGGTGTTTGTTACTCCTGTTCTCAGCTCTTCACTCCCTCCTGTTTTTCTTCAAGTCACAACAATGTGAGAAGGCAGGTTGCTCTTACCTGTCATTTCTGTCGTCCTACCATCACCCCCTTCACGCAGGTGTGGGCTTGCACACGCAGAGTCATGGGGGGATTTCCCGGTGACAAATCTCAAAGTGGTGGTGGTGGGGGGTGTTAGGGGTTTTGGAGGTAGACAGACTGAGTTAAAATTCTTTCTCCGTCACGGTAGTACAGGTAAGTCATTTTACTTCCCAGAACCTCTGTTTCCTCATCTGCAAAATGGGATTCTAACGCCCATCTCACTGGGTGGCCATGAGGACTGAGAGAACATGGAAGGCTGTGTCAAGGCCCAGCCTTCTCCCTGTGCCCTGGGCCTCTCTCTAGCCCCCCACCATCCAGTGTCCAGCATAGGGTGGGACACCCAAGAGGTCTTTTAACTGTTACTAAATTTCATTTCACTGAATCACTGGACTTTGAGTCTTCAAATCCCCCCCCCTTTTTTTTAATAAGGTAACTTGAACCTCTGTTTCTCTAAAAAATACCCCTGTCCCAAGCTAGCTCTGGTATATTTGATTGTCTCCCCTTTGCCCTGGCACCGGTGACTTGACACACACATGCCCACGCATGCGTGCACTCCCACAGGCCTGTCCCCTGCTTATGGTGCGGGGGGATAGCACGAGGGGTGCCAGGCCTGGAGTTCAGAATTTTATATTCATTAGTGCATTTGATCATTGTTCAGACTCACAGACACGCTGCCCGTTGAGAAGTGTGATTTGCCATCACACCAAGGACATGACAGGCTCAGAGAGGGCAGCGAGGGCACCATTGGTCAGAAACCCCAGGGGCCCCTGCGCACACGTGGGCATGCACGCGCATGCATGCGAGCGTGCACACACACACACACACACACACACACACACACACACCCTCTGTACCGCTGCAGCCACGGGGAAG